TAAAGCAAGCCACAAGCCCACAGTTTTTTGTCTGACACCACTCTGCACCTCATCCCACTCCCTTTACAAGCCGAGGGGGCTGTGGGAGGGCTACCTACGGAGCTCCACTTGGCAAAGCTCATTTCCAACACCCTGCAGTGGTCCAAAGCCCACGGACATGAGTCAGTGACAGTTTTCCTGTCCATTCCAGTGGACCTTGGATGGCCTGTAAACACCCTTGCCAAAACAAGTAATCTCTAATAGGCGAACGTCGCTGGTTTGATGACTTGGGGGTGGCTGCGTTGCCCTGGACAGTCCAAAGTTGAGACACCACTTGGTAAACATCCACATGCACCACCAGCAGCCCCAGGGGGTTAAATTTAAGTTTAAACTATTGCTTTGCATTGGAAGTTAAACTCCTCTGACATGGGGCAGGTACATTACTGAGTAGTTTCATGACCCCTTATATCTGCAAAGAGCCCTGTGATACCTGGCAATTAAAAGGGAAAAGAATTTAAAAATAAAAAGGGCAAAAGGATTTATAATTCCTAGGCTGAATCCCAGAAATGGCTACAGTTTGTCACAGCCTGTGGAACAGACAGAAACTGTATTTTTTCTTTCCTCTCCGGCTCCGAAGTCCCGAGGGTAATTCTGCCAGAAGGAGCCTCCAGCCAGATCGCTCCACGCCGGGCATTACCACTCTTCACACGGTTTTGCTTCTTTTTGTTTAATTGAAAGAGTTAAACCCAAGCCCCAGCTGAACTACTGGAGGGCGACGATGACAATAATATTAGGAAGAAGAAGAACAAGAGGAAAGAAGCAGCAATTCGCTCCCGCACAGAAAACGCAAGAACCAGAGGTTTTCACTCCCGTGTCACACTCACCTCCTCCTCAGGACCCTCAGCTGTCCTTCCAAAAACAGGGATGGACGGGAGACAGCCAGGAGCAGCAGCCTCGGGCTCGGCTGTGCCACAGGACCTCTCTCCATCAACCCCTCCTTCTTCTCCTCCTCCTCCTCCTCTTCCTCCTCCCCCGTTGGCACCCGCGGAGCAGCAGCGACACAAAGGAGCGCCGAGGTAGCGACAGCTCCCTGCCAGCCCGATTCCCTGCGAGGAATCAAGGAATTCCCTCCTTTTCCTGCCACACGGGAGTTAAAAAAGCCTCACAGGAGCCCGCGGTCCGGGATGGGGAGAAGCTTTCCCGGAGCTGAGGTCAGGGAAAGCTCCAGAGCTGCTGAGACCCGGCTGAAGCTGCTTCAACAATGACAGCCCCAAGTTGCAAAGATAAACCACCCCCTCCACCCCAGGCTAATATTTTTCCCTTGCCTAACCACAGTTCTGCATTTCACTGCCTCTGTCACGCTTGCTTTGTTGGGAAATAAAAGGACTATTGCAGCATTTCTGTTTCATAGAATTGCTGTTGCTGCGTTCCCTGAATACAGCTGCCCCTTAAAGCAGCAAGATGCACTAAAATCTTGCTAGAAGGCAAATCGCAGGGGCAGGGAGGAGCTGCCCTTGGTCTGCTTTCCTGCCAGTGAAGCAAAAAAAAAGCCCACCTATATTTGCACCTGCATGTTCACCCCCAGCAACATAGCTGCTCTTCCAGGTGGGGATGGAAACAGCACACAGGTGATACCTGTGGGTATTAAAATAAAAAGGGAGAGCCTGGCATGACATTAGCAGGAGGAAGATAAGGTAAATTAAGTAGAAATTAAGGTTTTTTTCAAAGCAGTGGGGACATCAGTGAAGTGGCTTGGATCCCAGCCTTGCAAACAGATCTGCAGCTTCAGCTCCTGGCACCTTGGAGATCCTGTGGCAATGGAGAAGAAGCTTGAATTGGTGTCTGGTGTATAAATCAAATCTGTGTGTATCAATCTGGTTTGGTGGTTTAGCTCACCGTGCTTTTCTCCACTGGATGGAGAGATAGGTGCCAACTTTCTAGGAGCAGATCTCTAGGGAATGCCATACTTAAGACAAAAATCCAACTGAAATCAAAACAAAACACACCCAAAAAAACCCACAAAAAAACCAAAAAAAAAAAAAAAAACCCAAAAAACCAAACCAAAAAAAAACCCCCCCAAAAAAACCCCAAAAAAAACCCCAAACCAAAAAAAAACCCCCCCAAAAAAACCCCAAAAAAAACAAAAAATCAATCCCCCCCCCCACCAAAAAACCAAAAACTAAAAGAAAAACCACACAACCAGAAAAAGCCCCCAGAAAACCCAAAAGCAACCAAACAAAACCAGCCCCAAAACCCTCAAGAAAAAACCCCAGCTGTATCACCTTGTAATCAGTCCCTGTGTTAAATATTCCTGGGGAGGACTCAGAAAGGGGAGAAAGGAAGGGAAAGGATTGGATTGACTCAGGATTATGTGGTCTGAGCCTCATTTCTTTATGTGGCAGGCTGAAACTACCTGGGCTGTAGCAAGACCCTGAATTTTGCACACCCCGACCTCATGTCTAGGTGCATCCCAGCAATCCACATGGCACTCATCACTCTTCCCCCCAGGAGAAGGGAGTGGATGCAGTTTTGTCTCATTTCAGTGAGACTTGTGTATGACTGGGAGGGATTTAGATTTTATCCTTGTAATCAACCATATGTGCCCCAGAAGGCAGCACTGAGGGAAAACGAGGAAGGTCTGGAGTGCCCTCAGTCCCTGCAGCTCATTCCATGGACAAGACAGACAGCTGGGAATATTTGTCTCCTGCAGGAACTCATTTTACCCTTTGGATAGCCTGGTCATATGTCATTTATCTCTGGAAGATACAGACCAAGAGCCAAAATTTGATCTGAAATGCTACAAGAGGTGAGGATAGAGGACAGAGAATAAATTTTTTTGTTCTTACCATGATTTTTTTTTTTGCCAAAGCAGCTCAGGCTATTATTCAGATGGAGTTCCCTGACTGGAAACTGCTCTGTTCTCACAGCTCCAGTCATGATTTTCCAAAACTCAGTTTGGGTCTACAGGCAAAGCAGTTTCACAAGAATGGGATGGAGCCTTCTTGCCAGCAGGGCATGATGGAAGGGAAGAGAGATGTTATTGGTAGACCATAAAGCAAAACTGCCTGAGAAGTGATATTGCCACTGAAATTAAAAAGAAAAGAGAAAAAAAGAAAAAAAACATAGAAAAAATAAAGAAGAAATAAAAAAAGAAAAAAGGAAAAAAAACTTGCAAACACTTGCACATTGGGTTTAGTTTACATCCATGTGCAGTTAATCCAGATGGCCATGTGATTACAGCTGAATATGAGATTATGTACCACAGGCCACTTTGGAGAGGAAGACACTGTGCCTGGAGTGCTGTGCCTAAAAAAAATGAGACATTTTCTTCCATGTCTTGTGCACAATTTAAGGACACAAAGAAATAGCCAGAGAAGCAGAACATAGAAGAAAGTAAGCCCAGTGGGTATCTGTTTTTTATAGTTAGTGGAAGAAGATGGGACATTGTCTATGTGCTTTTTCATGGGCCAGAAATAGGAAATAAATCCATCTTGTATTCATTCTCCTTTTACTTCAGAGATAGTGCATTACAAGGTTTTGCACTCCTGCCAATACTCACTGCCAAAAGAGTAAATTGCCAGTTTTCACAAAGTTGCACATTGCTCAATAAATACATATTCAGCGGGACAAATACCTTCTCCTTTTAATATCTGTGTTATTCTTAAACACATTTGATTAGAGAGATGCACGTGCTGGGAGACAGCTCCATTTCTTACATTCAAGAAAGGAGAAAAACCCCTCCAATTTACATAGGATGCATCTTTACTTGCTTTTGGAAAATGAAGGTGCCACAAATACTCCATATTATCACATTCCCACCTCCTATCCCTGTGCCCAAGCTGATGAAAAGAGCGTTTCCACTCTCTTAAAAGTGCAGAACAGTGAAGCCACTGGAAGGTTTTTTGGCAGCACAGCCCTAATGGAAAAGCTCAATCTCACTCATAAAAGCTACACAATGGACAAAACCTATTATGGAAATCCTGTTATCATTCACTTTACAAAATAAATGGGGGACAAGTATCTGGCAGGGGCTACAGAGGAAACTCTCCACAGTCTGACAGAAAAAGGAACAAGGGATTCATCAGTCTAAAGTGATTAAGAAGTTTGGTTTTAGCTTCCTCTTTTTTTTTTTCCTTCCCAAAACAGACCTTACTAAAATAAAACAAAGGCAAAAACCTCTCTGAGAACTCTGCCAGTCTCTGTTAGTTATGTATTTTGGGAAATGGAGTGAGTCCACATGACCTCTGTTGTCCCCATCTTTGAGATAATGCTGTTACATTTTAGAAGAGCACTTGAGCTATGGTTGACAAGTGCTCTGTGTAGTTTTGTGATAAGAAAACCTCCATAAGGAAAAAACCTGGGCCCTCTGAAACCATCTCAAATCACAGAAGAAAGGCAAGTGGCACTTGCTGATACAGAGATAATTCATATCTTTTATTTAACAGTAACCCATGGAACATTCAGAACTTAGACTGTAGCATCATGAACTGCAGAAAGTATAGAAGTTTTTTCTCTACAGCCCTGTTCTTCTGCTAATGGTGATGAAAAACTCTGTGGATCCATGATCCTGCTGAACTTACCTCAAGTTCTCTGCCATAAAAATGGCACAGGTCTCCCTCCTGGGAAACCCTGGATAGTTTCAGACCCCAGCCTGAATGGATTCAAGCTGCTAAGCTGGAGGAAAGTTTTAATTTCTTACTCCCTCCTCCCCAGAAATGTTTCATCTTGGGGAATACATCAAAACTGGATTGCAAATTATTTGTCAAATGCTAAAGACACACAGGATGAGGCCATGAAGGAACAGCCCATTTTCACCACAGCAGATCAGCTGACTTCTTATTAAAAACCATACTCCAAAACTCAGAGTCTTTCTTGAATCCTGCTGTATTGCAGGCATTGCATTTGGATTCTTCCCTCTCTGAAGACACATCTGTCAAGGGAACCTGCTTAAACTCCTAGTGAGAAGAAAAGACTGAGTATCACCATGATAAGAAGAATGCAGCAGGTAGGGATTAGTTTCTTTGTTAAAGAATCTATTAAGTACACCAAAAATACCAGCAACTCTCTGCAGTCTGCTACAGATTATTTAACCTAAAATGGCTGTCTTTTCCTGAATCTGTCATTCTCTTCTTCCTGGAAATAATGTTTAACTTGGGCATTCTGTCTCCTTCACTGGCCTGCATTGCCTATGTAACTAATGTAACTGCATCATTCCTGAAAAAATGGCATTCTTGCCACTTGATAAATGGATTTGCAGCTGTGTGGCAGACAGAACTGAAATGTGAAAAACAAACTATTCACTGTGAGGTGTTAGCAATAACTGTATCAAATTGTGATGATCATTTCACAGATACAATTCCAGTGAGTGTGTGGTCTTTAATCAAGTGTCCTTTTAACTCAACAGTAAATGCCCTATTTTCTATTTGAATTGTCATTTAGATTAGTCTCCTAGACTTCTTCTAGGAATTCTCCTACTCACCTACAGTCTAATCTATGTCTACACGTGCTAATCATCTCTTAAACACTGATCCTGGCTGGATGCCACACACCCACAAAAGTCACCCTATCAGTCCCTTCACCAGCTGGGCAGAGGAGGGAAAATACAATAAAAACCTCGTGGGCCGAAATGAGAACACAGAGATCAGCCACATGTCACTGATCAGGAAGAAGAGACTTAGGGAAATTTGTTTATTACCAACCAAATCACAGTAGGATAAAGACAAAGGAAACTAAATCTTTAAAACTCCTTTATCCCACCTTTCCCTTCTTCTTCCAAGGCTTAACTTCACTCTCCATTTTCTCTCTTACTCCTTCCCCTCAGTGGTGCAGGGAGATGGAGAATGGGGCTTGTGGTAATTTTATTAAACATTCTCTCCTTGTTCTTCCTCATCACTGATGGTCTGGGATGTGGCCAGAGGATCCCTCCTGGAGCTGGCTGGACACAGGGGAAGCTTCCAGCATCTTCTCAGAGAAACACCCCCCACTACCCAAACCTGGCCATGCCAACCCCATACAAACAGAGTTTACTTTATCTGCTGTTGTGGAGCAGCTTTTATTCTGTCAGGGAAAACACCAGCCCACGAGAGCAGCAAAGGAACAGCACAGAAAAAGTGGTGCAGCTGGGCTGGGTGATTAATACAAAACAGAAGACAAGGCACTCAAGTTTTTCAGACTCATATGTCCTAAGAAATGTAAAGCCAGATAAGGAATATGTTTTTTTCCCACAAAGTTCGTTTCACCTTTGTGATCTGCTGCATTTTCTTCACTGGTTTCCCTCATTTTGCAACTCCAGCTTCCTAAGTTGGTCTTCAAATTTCTGAATGTCGACTTGATGCTTCATTAGGAACTTCCCATTTAAGTGAAAAACAGGTATGTCATATTTGTATTTATCATACCACGCTGAGTTCTCTGGAAGGGTAATATCCACCTCCTGCAGAATAAACTGTGGCAGAGAAGAAATATGTCAGTTCCTGCTGGACACTGAAAAAACAATACCTGCTTGTCTTCTGATCAGTGCTTTCCTCAGAAATGCAAGGCTGTTTGCCTGAAGTTTGTGGGTTTATTCTTTGTGTTGCAGATTTTTTGAGTTTTTTTGAGTACACAATATATGTAGCCACAACCCTTGGCTGCCTCTCCACAAGGGAATCTCTCCCTAGCCCAGAATATTCTTGTTCCACTGGGCAGAACCACTCTCCTGTGGGCAGCAACCTCAACAAACACACAGCTGGGAACAAAACAGGCAGCAGAGTGCAACAGTTCTTAAGGCTTGTATTGAAAGTTTCATCCTTCAACAGAGAGAGCAAAACCTGGCTGAAAAATGGCACAAATTGCAGTCACATAGTTCAAATATTCAAAGCCCCACTTAGTCACATCCTTCCCAAATTACATCCTGGCTCATAAAAGTTACAAACTCCTTCAGACAAAGCAACAGTATTTGCAAAAGGAGTATTTTCAGGAACTCCTGTAACATGGTTTATATTGGTTTAGTTTGCCAATACTTATTTGAGTAGCATTATCACAAAACGCTTTTGGATAATGAGTTTTATGTAAATCAGTGCTGAAATTGTCTTGAAGAGGTCATCCATGAAAGAGTAACAGATGCAAATAAATCCAAGCAATTTTCTTTTTACAAAGAAAGAATCCTGATTAACTGTTCTTCTCATATAGAAAACATATACAGAATTTCCATACATTACCCTTCTCTTGTATGGCTCAAGAACTTCTTTTGCTTCATCACACAGAGGGCATGGTTTCTAAATGAAAACATTCAGAGTACCTTAAAGCATGCAGTAAAACACAAATGTTGTTTGTACTGTGAAATAACACACAGAACATTATATTAATTCCTGTAAATTCAGGTTCCCTTCCCTGCACCAAGCACCCTGTCTTAGGGCTTTCTAAAACTTTACTTATCAGTGCAGTATGGATGAAAAAAAAAAAAAAAACCCAACAAACTATCCAGCCACTGAATGAAATTATTTAAATTATTTTACATTTGCTACTGCATTTCTCATGGGGCAAATTCAACAGTTTTCTAAAAGCAGATCCAAGGGAATGATCCGAAAGCACTGTCATCACCAATTGAAGACAGCTGCATGTACCATTCCTGCTAAAAGAGGAATGAGAAAGCCACGCAAGTAACTTCCAGCTTGTCTCTGATCAAGACACATGGCTCAGTTCAAATGGGAAAAGAAGGTAAATTTAAGACTGGGTGGCCATGCCTGGAAGAAATTAAGCAGGATCCTCCAAACTGCAGAGCTGGAAGAGGAGAATAACTCTACTCTTCTTAGAGTTACTCTAAGAGTAACCTCCAGCAAGGAGAACTGGCAAACAGCTTCAGAGTTTTGACCTGTGATGAGGTCAAAAAACCCCTCACATTTTAGAAAACTTCCTCATCTGAGTTCTGCTGACCACCCAGACTGTAACTGAAGAATTAACTCATATGAAAGCATGTTGCTCCAATGTTTACAACATCAGAATTTGGCCCATAATTCACATGGCAAATTATATGGAGGTGAACCTGACCACTGTGTCCCTCTGCCCCAAAACACCTCCCACAGCTGGAAAAGACCTTCTTCTCTTTCTCCCACTGAAAAATCTTCCTAGAGCTTGGTTAATTGTGAAGTTAATCTGAAACAGCTACTTTTTTGTTTCCTGTAATGTGAAATTTCCAGTAATGTGAATTACTTCATATTAAACACTCTACTTTTATTTAGATCTAACCTTTAGATCTAAACTGCCTTTCCCACATGGACAAGTCCTTGTGCTCTGAAAACCTAAGCAGGACACTGAAGTGCTGTGTTCTTCTACAGAAGTCCTGGTTGCTTTTGGAGGGACTGGTTTAACAGATACTGGTGACTGAAAGGAATTGACCCAGAACATCAGCTCTGTAGCACCTCACTTTTGTAACACACCAGGCTCTTTCCAGTTAAAACAGAATACATTTCATTCCTCTAGGCCTGTGGAGAGCTTCCAAACATACCAGGTACATAAATGCATTTGTTAAAGATGGCTAACTTGTAGGAGAAAGTACTTTTACTCTCGTGGCAAGCTTAAGCACTAGGTGGTACTGGCTTAAAATCAAAAGTGAATTATTTTAACAAACAGTGAAATCTTTTTTAAAAGTAGATTTATACAAGCAATTGGTGCACAAATGCTCAGGGGGTCAGAAAAAGGGAAACAAGGGAAACCCATTTGGTAGTTTCTATCATTTTATCTAGAAGTCGTAACTCCCTTCTGTTTCTCCTTTTCTCCTTATTAAAAATAAGAAGGAGGCAAACAAGGGGTCAATTAGCATAAACAGTGTAGATTAGATTTTTTGTATAGTCTGTGCTTTTCTTTGCAATTGCCAGTGAACTTTTAAAGCTAACAGTAAACATTTACTGTTAAAAAACACCTTCAACAGAAGGCCATTTCAGAGAACTGCTGGAAATCTGCCACTAGAAAATTTGATTTCACACAGTGCCTTCCTAAATCCTAACACTAGTTAGGAATTTTAAGACACAAAGAGCAATTTTTTGGGCAATTATTAACCCAAAGGTCATTATTCCCTACCTCACCCCATTTGAATTATGAATGAATTGAGGCTGAGCTGGGCACAGAGAGAGAAAGCTGCTTTCTCTTTAAAATACAGTTCTGATTATTAAATGGATGCTGACCTATTATTTTTAACCTATTCATTTGTCACACAGTTTAAACACTCCTGTATGTTCACAGATGGAAAGAAAAAACACTGTGCAGGAGGAGGAAATTATTTTAATCGTATCTAAAACCACCACACTGATGTCAGCACTCTTAGTGCTTTGCATTTGTAGTTATTCTTCTCTTAAAAGCTGCAACAACCACATAAATTCAGAAAAAACCACCCTGTGCCATCCTTTATAAAACTGCAGAACTATGCAGGTAATAACTGAAAACAATTCATGGTTTGTGACAGTCCACAAATGACTCTTCCTGCTCATCTCATCTGTTTTCTAAATATGCCTAGGAATACTACACCCATTTTATCTGCTGCCAGTAAAGCAAAAAGAGGGTAAAACAAAATCTACTTTTCCCTCATGTGCTCCCAACACTAACTGGATAAATTTTACAGTCTGACAGGTGGTGCTGAAATTTAACACGAGCACTTTGAAGACCCTGCTTTTGACTGCTGATGCTTGTGGTTGGCAGACTGTGTGCAACATTTCATCTCTGTTCTCCATTTTCCGGGTGAAACACTGGCAGCTGGGCCAAACCTTCAACTAGTAAATGAACCAGAGAGTCACAGAGGCAAAACTGTCCTGAAATATTTGCTGATTGCTAATTCTTACTTGCCACAACGACAGCAGCACTGTGCAGCAAAGCCCGGTGTGCAGAAACCCACTAAGTGAAATGCCCAACACTACTTTGAAGTGGGGGAAAAGAAGGCAAGGACAAGCCATTTGATCTGTAACTCCTGTGTTTCAGAGCTGACAAACACACAGTCTCACCCAGCTTTACTGCGTGAACAGCTCTTACCTTGGTGAATAAAGTCAACACTGGCTTATTCGTGCTGGCTGAGCAGAGCTGTCTTCCCAGTGGGCAGGGTGAATGCCTGGCTCGTGGCAGGGCTCTGCTCAGAAAACAGAGCACCATCATCCTGTTCCAGGCAGGAAAAAAAACCAAAAAACTCTTGAGTTGTTCTGCGCCAAGTTATAGCTCATGAAATTTAATGTCAGGATAAACGCGACGCTTCTGTGGCGGCTCTAAATCACACACAGCCAAAACATTCATCCCAGGGTTTTTGTGCCCGTGGTATCAACACATTCATCAGGGAGGTGCTTTACTATGTGGCAGGCCAGAAACATTGTGCAGCTCAGAAACCAGCAGTTTCATTAAAAAAAAAAGAGGAAAGAACAACTAGACACCTACATTTTCTTGCCGAAATGCCTCTTTTAAATTCCCTAACACAAATGCTGACATAAATGCGTTATGCTGCTCCAGCTCCACAGATGCCAGCTGGAATTACATATTTAAAAATGCAAAGTGCTGTGCTTTGAACCTCTGTAATCTTGCTGCAGCATTTGACATAGTCTACTTACCCAAATTATTCCATCAAAAAAACTAATCTGTACCTAATCAGAATATTAATACAATGCGTTCTGCAGTGAGAAAAAAGCTGTAGCCAAGATGATTTAACTTGGCAATATTAAAAGCATTCACACTGCCCTAAGTCCTTCCAGCAACAGCAAATTAATTGATGGGTTTGTGATCCCTTTGAGAGAGAGTTTGAATAAGTTAAGTGCTATTGAAGGGTGCCAAGCTGGAGTCTTGAAGTCACCTGTTAATAATGTCATTAATAGTAGCACTGCTTCCTCTAAACTTTTGTCTTAATGTGACTTTCACAAGGCATTTTAGGACATGAGGGAGGAAAAAGGAAGGCAAAGGGAGTCTGCATGGTCATTACCAGCAGACATGACACCTGATATCAGAATTTACACTGGGAAAACCTAACTGAATCCCTTTCACCCAAAGCCAAACTGCTTCTTCTCAGCTTCAGGCCTGACTAACCTGTAGCTGTGTTATCTAAAGCTAAACACACAAGGTGATGCCACAATTTCCAGCAGCTAAAGAGTGAGCAGGATCTCACTGCAACTGCTAGGCACAGTTTAGGATGTTTAGTCAAAAAGAACCCAGTGCCCTTCTGCTTCACTGGATCTCTCAGTACTGATATCACAAAGCTTTTTCCTAAGAGGACAGTTTGTCCAGAGTAACCACTAAGGAAGAGCACTACAGTGGACTCTAAAGCTGTATTTCCAAGCCACAACCACAAGAAAAATCAAATGGGTGACAGGGCACTGCTCCACCAATCTTCCTGCACAGCCAGAAGACAGCAGCTATTAGTAAGAGTCAGCTGCAAGGGGCAGAGCAGTAAAATTCCTGCCACTGAGCAGTGACTGGCACAGCACACACTGCCAAAGGTCACGCTCCTTGGCAGCCACTGCATTTGTTTCACTTACCAAGGTGGAAATAGAACTGCCTGGGATTTTGCATGTTAAATGTAAAGGACAAGCTTGGAACCTTTTGGAAAAATGCAGATTTGGATGGCAGGAAGAGCCTCAGTCAGATGCAAAAAATTTTTAAACCCAGAACAAATGAAAGTCTAGAATGGATGAAGTCTAGAATGAAGTGTTTACAGCATGTTGGCCTGTTCACGTACGAGATAAAAAATGGGGGTAAAGAAAAGGGTCTGCTCTCTGACAAGTTTTTTAAGAACCCTTTTGTTGCCAGCCTAGCAAGCCTTCCAAATGAGGAAGATGCCCTCAAATTGTTTTGTTTTAGCAGAATGAATGAAGCCCAGATTTTCAGAGATCACATTCTGCCTTTCACACATATATGTGCATAAAACAGCTCCAGTTCAGTCCTATACAGCACTTTTTTGATCCCTCCATGCTCTGCTGTCCTGAGGACAACTCCTGCCAAAACATCAGCTGACAGGGAATTAATAAAACAATATCAGTACCTAAGCTTTGAGACCCACCAAAAAAAAAAAAAAAAAAAAAAAAAAAAAAAAAAAAAAAAAAAAAAAATTAGCCAGTAGTGCTGTAACTTCCTCACTAATTTTAGCTGATTACAAAAAATTCCACCTTCAGAGTTCAGAAACACTACCTTCAAGAAATTCAGAATCCAGCAGCAAATCTTCCCTAACCAGTACTGCTACTGAAGAAAGAATCTGCTGTTTCCAGGGCTAACTGGAGACTGGCTGGCTGTTTTTCTAGATAACCTAAAGAAACAGAGTCCTGTCTATCTACTCACCTAAGCAAAATAATTCCAAAGACACTAAAATGCACAAAACTTCCCATACCATTATTCTGGATCTCTCTCTAGACCACCCCCAATTATAAAGATTTGCTTGAGGATAAAAAATGAGCACATAAATGCGAAGAAGGATGCTTGCAAACTTGAGAATTTACCTTCCCCTACACCACAATGCTACAGATTTAACAAATTAATCTTTTGAGTCTGGACTTGGCCCATGCTCTAATTTGCAAAGCCAAGTTGGACTCAATTCCTGTTAAGAGAATTCCATCACCCAATAAATCCTCATCTGCAGGAAAAGTAAGTTGTGACACTAAAACCATCCATTATTTAGATGAGGTGAGTATCTGTATAAACTTAATCTCAGCATCAATCAAGGCAAGACAAGCATGGATTTTTTTTTTTCCTTGAAGTATTTACCTTTTAAGTAACAGCTGAAAGAGAATGGGGGCAGAAAGTAGGTGCAAATAACAGGAAGTATGTTGATGGCATGTAAAACACCTATCTCCTGTTGTCCCTCATTCAAAACCAGCTACGGCCATCAAGGAAACTAAATTTTCTGGCAGTCTGCATTTGATTACCTACCAAGGAAATGCTGAACAGGAAAACAGGTGACACAGACCAGGGAGCCCACGTGAGTGGGGACAGCAAACCTTGCAGCTCTGGAGATCTTCACGCAGCTTTTACCCCACCAGACATTCAGAGGAGACCTGCAAAATACAAGAAAATCTTTTTGCACATGCTCATAACTCTATAAAAGATTTTCAGGGAGAATCAGACTCTTGCAGCAGCTCCAAATTCAAAGATACCATCAGCAATACCAGCTGTGTCTGTGGGGTGATGTTATGCATCAATCAGTGCAAGCTTCCATGCATCTTCTCCTCTAACCTGGGGAAAATCCCAAAAAGACACTTCATTCCATCCCAGAAAAGATGGAAGTGTCACATTTGTCAACACATTTTGCTCAGTAATCCCCCCAGGAGCTTGCATCCTAGAATCTGGTCCAGGGCCACACTACAAATTCCAGATAATTGCTACCATAATCTAAAGTTTGTAATGGAGCTTAAAAGATAATAGCAATAACAGCACAATAGAGAATAATATATATGCCACATATATTATAGAACACAACACACAGTATTTTATATGTACCCATATATCTCACAAAATTATATTAATATCTTAGATGCTACACATCCTATAATGTTATAATATTAACAAATATAACAATAATATTAAAATATTAACATATTGCTAACATTAATGCATATTACTGTTTATATGGGTCATATTAAGGTCATATTAATATGTCCCTAATATGCAATTAATATTGCTTTGGTGTAGTGTATCAATAATTGTATTAGTAATAGTGTATGTTATATAAATATGTACATAATAATACTGTATATTAATTATATACATAATAATATTGTATATTATGTCATACTTATTTTATTTAGATGTACAGCTTGTACGTTTTAAGTATATACACATATATGTGCATATGTGATACACATTTGTGTTATTACATGCCTATACATATAACACATACATATAAGATACATATTTGTGTGTGTATGTATATTAAAAGTTAATATGAAATATCCAAAATAAATATTAAAAATATAAAATTTTAATATAAATATTACAATTGCATATACATATACACACAAATACACACATATATATACATATCTACGTATTTGTATATGCATACATATATATACACATATATATTAAAATATAAAAACGTTTATATGTAGGAATGAGATGCATTATATATATAACACAAGTTTTAAATATACACACATATTGATATATATACCTACAGATATACATATAAATATATAAAATAGACAATAACATGAAATATATATTGACATATATGATATGTATTTGTGTGCCTATATATATAAAAAATAAGTATGAAATATATAATATTAAAATAAATATTAAAAATAGAAAATAAATTTAAAGTAAATATTGCATATACATATACACACATATACATTTTAACATATATATGAATATATAATATAAAAATACATAGACATATATAAATATATATTTTTATATATATGTTTTATATATATTTTTATAAAAACATAAATTATATATATATGTATTATATATTTTAATATATTTTATCTATTAAAATGTATAATTTTAAAATATATATTTTATATATAAAAATATATAAATATATTTATATGTGTGTATATATGTATTTATATAAAAACTCATAAACATATATATAGACACATATATATACATACATATATACACATATATATGTATATATAAATCACATAAATAAATAAATAGATAAATAAATAAATAAATAAATGAAATCGAAATGTTTATATGTAGGAACGACAAGCACCATAGACATAACACAATAACAGTTTTAAACACTTCTGTTTGGAAACTTCTGAGCGACACCCCCCAAGCCCCGCCGGCGAGCCCAGCAGGGTACAGTGTATCCAGAGGCCTCCTCACTCTGCCCCGCAAGGAGCCAGCTCGCCGGGGGATGCCGATGCTGGAAAATTTGTAACGGGACCCTCGGCGGGGACGAGGAGCGGAGCCGCATCCCGGGGGAGCGCAGCCGCATCCCGGGGGAGCCGCATCCCGGGGGAGCCGCATCCCGGGGGAGCCGCATCCCGGGGGGTGCTGCATCCCGAAAAGCCGAATCCCGAGGGAGCAGCATCCCGAGGAAGCGAACCCCGAGGAGAAAAGCCCCGAGGAGCCGCAGCAGCCCGCAGCCGGGTCCGGGCGGTCCCGCACCCACCTGCGGGAGCTCCGCCGGAACCGCGCCGGGAGCGCCGGCTGTGACGTGACTCCGCCACGGGAAGGAAGCGACAACGGCTCGGGAAGCGCTCCCGAGGGAAAAGGGGACGGCCGAGGTCCGCAAGAGAAAGTGAAATTGTAATAGTAATAATAACAGCAATGGTAATGCAATAGTAATGCAAAATAGAAATAATGGTGTAATAGTAATGATGGAAGTAGCAAGGGTAACGGTAATAATGGTATCAGGAAGTTTTGTTAGTAAGGTGGGGACTTGGCGTGGAAATTGGCGTGTTAGTCCCTGAGGTAGGGCTGTGAGTGCGGGGTTTGGGTAAAAGGTAGGGTGGGAGGGAGGAAGGAAGGAAAGGAAGGAATTCAGTCCAGGTGATGACCAGGATCCTGGGGGCTTTGAAGGTCTTCTACAGCCTCATCCCCCCTTACACATCAACCTCTGGCCATCACTTCACACCCACTTCCGTGCTGATGCTGCCTTTTATTTGTTGTGTGCTAGAACAAGGATTTTGTCCCAGAAAAGTGCTGCCTTGCCTCCACATGGCCCCTTTTCCCATCACATCTTGTTTTTCCTCAGCGTGTTGGCAACAAGAAGCCTTGGCTGGGTCCACAGCCACCAGGCTCCCCAATGGCCAGCACCAGCACTGCTCCAGGTCTGCCCCCAGAGCAAAATCCTGGCTGGCAGCTTCCCCACTTCCCTCACTTCACTCTGCTATGTACCAGAAAGTGGGCAGCAGCCTGTAAATCTTCTCCTCCATCCTCCTGAAACATGGAATTTCGGCACCCACTCAGGTGGATGTAGTGTATAATGGAAAAAAATCTGAATTAGTGGAGAGTATCACTGGAGCACAAAGGTTCACAACAACAAAAGCACAGAGAGAAAAAGCTGGGCCTGTTTAGCCTAGAGGTGACTCAGGTGGGATCTTATTAGTGCATAAAAATATCTCCAAGGCAGGTGGTAAGAGGATGCTCTTGATGCTCCATTTGACTACTCTGAGGTGTTCTGTCTTCAGGTGTGTTCATTTTCCTTTCCCCAGAAAAGTTTCAAGTAAAAAACATCAAGTGTCCACTGCTGGGCAAATGAAAGCTGCAGCCTCATGTTTGCATAGAGTAAATACATACTGTATTTCTGCTAGGATTTTGGTTTTGCCATAGTAGCTGTCCCTAGGCCGAGAGTGGGAGACAAATCTTTAGGACAGAGGCTCAAGTCAGCTTCATCTGTGCTTTGAGAAGCACAACAGCACCCAGGGAAAGGCTCTCCAGGGGTGTAATCCTACCCTGCTGATGTGACACGTGTAATTAACCAGCACTGAAATTAACACGAGGCAGAGTCAGCTCGGGATCTTAAGACTCCTTTTCAGACACTAACTTAATCCCTGCTGCTGAACAGAGATGTAATGCTGGCAGCTGACACTGCCTGCTCTTTCTTCTTTTCCCAGCATCAGAAAATCTGGTGTAAGGCTTTGGTATTTGGCGCTGGTACAGAACAGACCTGACAAGCCTCACACAAGGGAAATGCTGAGCTGGCTCTCACCTGGATTTTACTTTCTCAGAAAGGGTGGGAGGACACCCAGAGAGAGGGCAGAGGCTGGTTGGAAAGCAGATAAATAAAGAGATCAGCATGCTCTTGGCATCTCAGGTCTTAGATTAATTTTATCCCTCTTGCTCCCAAAGCAAGTCTATCCTTCTCTGGACATGTGTCTAAAATTCCCAGAGGAACCTGGAGGAGAGAGCTCCCAAAACTGGTCAGTTTATTTAAATAAAATTGCAGCTGAAGGCAAGAAGTTGTCTGGCTGTATTCCTTTCCTGGTTTCAGCAGGATTGTCATGTTGCCTAACACAGTTCAATTAGCCGAATCACTGACTGGTCAAATCAGAATTTTCTTACACTGCCAGATGTGTTTATTGTTCTGCACTCAGGTATAAACTGGTTTCACCCTCAGATCAGGTTGTTTTTAATACAAGTATTAAAAAAATGGAAAAAGAAGAAAAAAAAAATTTAAAAAAGGTTCTTATGCTACAAACATCTGCTTTGCAATTAACCAGTTTTGTTTTGGCAGGTTTTTGATACACTACTGTAGATATCTCAGCATAAAACTAGCTTTGGTTTTAATCCCGTATTTATGAGCTGAATCTTCTTAATCTTCACAGTGACAGATGCAGAAAGAATTATTACTTAGAGCATGTCTCACTATCACTGTGCTTAGGAATGAGATGGATTTCTGTAAAGTTTGGTATTTAAAAACATGTTCTGACATCTGAAAGAAGTGCAACACTATTTTTCATTATGGCTCAAAGGACATCTTTAGATTTCAAGGGCAGTTAGGACTCAATGGTTACATTTCCTGCACAGGTACCATGCTATGATGCACAAGTTTTCCTTTTTTTTTTTTTTCTTTATAAATGTATCTCTTAATAAAGTGTGGACATGGTTTCACAGCCCAAACTAAAAAGAAGTCATGCTCTGATGGACCACATGCAATTTGGTTCTCCTCCAGATTTCTATTTTATTTCTCTATATTATTTTGAGATAGAGTCACAGATTCAGAGGGTGGTCTGGGTTGGAAGGGACTTTAAATCCCACCCAGTGTCACCCCAGCCATGGCAGGGACACCTTCCACTGTCCCAGGCTGCTCCAGCCCCAGTGTCCAGCCTGGCCTTGGGCACTGCCAGGGATCCAGGGGCAGCCCCAGCTGCTCTGGGCACCCTGTGCCAGGGCCTGCCCACCCTCACAGGGAAGAATTCTTTCTAATAACTGGGTTAAATCTACCCTTTTTCAGCTTAAAGCCATTCCACATCTCAAATCCTGGGTCAGTTTTGAGCACGTCACTCCAAGGAGGACATTGAGAGGCCGGAGCATGGCCAGGGCAGGGAACGGAGCTGGGAAGGGGCTGAGCCTGGAGAAAAGGAGGCTCAGGGGGGCCCTTGTGGCTCTGCACAGCTCCTGCCAGGAGGGGACAGCCGGGGGGTCGGGCTGTGCTCCCAGGAACAGGGACAGGAGGAGAGGGAACGGCCTCAGGCTGGGCCAGGGGAAGTTTAGGATATTAAGTTTAAAAAACTCTTCATTGAAAGGATTATCAAGCATTGGAACAGGATTCATTCCCTCAGGGGAAGGAATCATTTTGTGAAAAGTGAAAATCTTAATGCTCAAGTGACTGGAGTATGGAAAAGGTGACAAATTGAAAAAATAATCACAGCATCAAACATCCAATAACTTCAATCAGGAGCAGAGGAATGCCAGAAAAATGTATTAGAAAATTTGATTCTAATATGAGAGAATTTTTTTTTTTTTTTTTTTTTGCTGTACAAAGAACAGCTTCTAGAGATCTTAGCCTGAGGAAAAGCACCTTGAGGAATATGCTTTAAAAAAAACCCCAAAATGCGTTCCTAAAATGATGAATGCCAGTGGAGGAACATTTTCATTTGCGTAAATGACCTGCAGAACGGAGGGGACTGCCTGCCCATGAACTTTTCACTGTCTGCCAACCCAAGGATCACCTCAACACTGAACATGGTGACACGTTAATTTGCACATTGTGTAACAGCAATTTGAGCAGCATTTTGAATCTTATTTTTGTATCTCGCGTTTTCTATGGGACCATTGCCATGGTGGCACATGGTATCCAAAAATTAATTTACTGAGCACCGAGAGAGCACTGGGTTCCAGGCTAAGGCAGAGCCTATTGGAAATCAATGCTATTCTTTCTCTTCCCTTTAAGGACCTTTTGGTCAGGTCCTTCTTTTGCATGCAGCACATGTTGTATGTTTGCTCTGGGTGCTAAAACCCAGCTGTATTTAGCAGCTTCTTCAATAGTGAAATTTGCTTTCCATAAATTCCAGCTCAGCAGAGAGTATTTGTGGGAGATAGAAGTTTTTATGGGATCTAGGATAAACACTTATTTTCAAACAAATTAAGGCTGCTCTGGTAGGAGATGTCAGCAAATGCCCTACTCCCCTCATCTCTGAGATTATATAGTTGAAGAACAACAGGACATTGAAATAATGTGTATAATTTTGGGCCATGTAAATTATGTGAGGGTTGCAGCAGTCCCTTTGCTAACCAAAATTCTCCCATCACATGTTCACTATGTCTTTGATTGCCCGTAAGTGGCACGTGAAAAAACAGCATTTGTTTGGCATTACAAAGTGAGCAGCAGAAATTTCATTTTGCTCCTATATATTCATGCCTTCTTCCTAGAACTATCTTCTTGAGAGGCTTGCCTCTCAAGGTAAGCTTGTAACATCCTGCAAGCCTAAATTTCATTTTGCTCCTATATATTCATGCCTTCTTCCTAGAACTATCTTCCTGTGGCTTGCCTCTCAAGGTAAGCTTGTAACATCCTGCAAGCCTCAACACTTGAAAAAACCATTTACAGTTTGAAAGAAAATGAGGGAAAAGACTGAGTGTTAGGCTTTGCTATGGTCTTCAAATGAAGAACTTTTTCAGGCTAACGATGTGCTGTGCAATGGTGTTAAGTAATGAAGTACTAACTAACATAAAATGTGGGGTTTTTTTATTTTCTATCACATAATATGGGTTTTTCAAGGAAATGGATCTTATTCTAATACCTTACACTCTTAACACTTCTTTCAAATTAATGCAAAATATAGTTACTGTCGTGCAAAAGTTGATTTTTGCTGTTATTCCTAATTGATTACTTTACAGTGACACACGAGTCATATCCTGCCCCTTTGCTAAAAAGCTAAAAAGAACTGTTAAGAGTGTTAAAACTCTCTATTTTGAAGTCCACCGTCATATCCTGCCCCTTTGCTAAAAAGCTAAAAAGAACTGTTAAGAGTTCTTTTTGAAGTCCACCTGAATTAAAAAAAAAGGTGTGTCTTTACCTTTGAAATTACAATTGTTTTAAACTTAGCTATCTGATTAAAGTTGCACATGGCACAAAATTTCTATAAATACAATTTTTTTTTGGGGGGGGGGTAATATTTTATTTTTTTTCCTTCTGCTGTTTCCCCATTTGCTACCCAGTAAATAATTGACTGACTACCAGCATAATCTATGCCATAACCCA